TGGCTATTTTGTTAATTATTGTTACCTATTGGGTAGTGCAAGGAGCTCTGGTGGTATAGTGGTTAAGGCATTTGCCTGCTAACCAAAGGTTGGCATTTCAAACCCACCAGCCACTCCATGGAAGAGAGATGAGTCAATCTGCTTCCATAAATATTTACAGCCTTGGAAACCCAATGGGGGTTACTATGAGTTGGAATCGACTTGATGGCAGAGAGTTGGGTTTTGGTTTATTGGATAATGCAAATGGTGAATGTACTCAGCTGTTTTTATCAAGGCTGAGTCCACTCAGAGGCATCTCAGAAGAAAGGCCTGGAGATCTACTATGAAAAATCAGCCCCTGAAAACTCTGGAGCACAATTCTACTCTGATACACATAGAGTCACCATGAGGCAGGATCAACTTGACAGCAACTGGCATCAAAGTGTCCCTTATCTCATATGTTTATGCAAATAACAGGCGTGTTCTATGTTTTTTTGCAAACTGCACAGCCCCTTTGTGTGGTAGTTTCCTTTACGTGGTCTGTGTGTTATATGTGTGGGTACATTATTTCTGTGGGCCCATTATATTTAAAAAAATCTGGTATTATTTAATATAGCTTTTATTTTCCATTGCATATTAGCTTCAGTTATTAAATAAGGTGTGATGCTCCAAAGAGAGTCTTGTTTTGAAGATGCAAGTGAAGTGATTCTGCATTGGGCTTTGGGAGCTGCTGAAGTGGAATCTAATAAGTGAGAAATAACTTGGACATTACTAAAATGATGATTCCATTGAGCCACTTTTCATCACTGGTCTTGGGAGGATTCCAAGTCTTTGATATTTCACCAGCAGTTAGAATAAACAGAAGGAGTGGTGTTGGTCATATTAAGTAGGGAGTACACTGGCCTTCCCCAAAGACTTACCCTCTCTGACTTAACAATGATAACTCCCTTCCATTGAATTACATTTTAGCTCCTTATTCTGACATTCAAATCTGTCTACATTCCATCCCTAAGTGACATGAGCACCAGAACTCACTCTCTGCTGCCATTGAACCCTCTACCCATAGCCTCCTGGTCAGTCACCGACTTGGTGGTCTTACCATTTACCAAGCCTGCAAGTCCCTCTCCCCTCTTTTCAAAGATCAGTGTCAGTGTCATTCCTCCCCAAAGCCTCTAATTAAACGCCTTTACAGGCTTATTGTATGTTAAATTTTGACAGTTAATTATGTTCACTTTCATATTATCCTCTTCTTGTTTCTAAGTCTTACTTTCTCAACTAGATAAAAACTTCTTGAAGACACAGCTGCTTTAATATTTTTTACATTGCATCATGTAGGGCACATACTGTGGTCTCAAAATTGGACTGAAGAGATTTTAAATTCCAAGTAAAATGAGCAAAGTACCCTGCTTTTGAGCTCTTTGGTCCCACTGGTTTCAATCTAACTTAATATTATACTCAAGATGATAATTCAATTTTTTACCCTTTCTTGTCACTAGTAGAGATCATCAGTTACCAATAAAAAGAAGAAGAAGCAAGAAAGGGAAATGAATTTGTTTGTAAAAGAAAAGATAACCACCAAGATTTTTGTCTTTCCCCCTAAAAATGAGCTACACAGTCTATGACTTCAGTGACCCAACTTCAAAACTGAAAACTTTAATTGAGAATTGATAATAACATAAATATGAAGCAAATCTCAGCATCTGTATGATTTTTAACCATCACATTTTAAGGAGCAACTACATTGCTTGCTCAATGCATATAAATGGGAATGTTTCCATAGAGCCTATTTAAACAGCTTCAGTAACTGGAAAGAAAGAAATATTTTTCATTCAATCCCCTGTCTAATAGAACATTAAACTTTTAAAATTAAGTCGACCACACAAATAAAACTAATATTTTAGATTGGGTTTTTCTTTTTCACAAAATGGGATAACATTTGCATTTCAGTAATAAGAAGAGTCTGATCTTCTCTTTGAAGTCCTCAAGATGGAAGACATCTCAGGGACTAAAGGGTTAACCAAAAAAAACAGTTGATTTGACTCATATCGACCCCTCCTTGGGTTTCTGAGGTTGTTGTTGTTGTTATGTGCCGTCAAGTCAGACCTGACTCATAGCGACCCCTCCTTGGGCTTCTGAGGCAGTATCACTACGGAAGTAGATTGCCCCATCTTCCTTCTGAGGAGTTCTGAGGTGGTATCTCTATGGAAATAGAGTTCCCAGTCTTCCATCCGATGAGTGGCTGGTGGGTTTGAACTTCCAGGCTTCTGGTTAGCGGTCAAATGCTTTAGGCACTACACCAGTTAACTGAATGCATTTTCATATACATATCCCACGTACCTTCCCATCCACCCTTGCTCCTGAAATAACATGGAGGAGGCTAACTTCAATGTTTCTGGGGTCCATCCAAGAAATTCTAAGCCCTGTGTTTGGAATTGACCTCCAAAAGAGTACAAAGACCTTTCACTACAATAAAATTCAACCAATGTTTACTAGGCAAACATGCTTCTTTCCCTCAAGATGCTGGTGCTATGGAGAGACAAAAACAGGAGACACACTTTCCACTCTCAGGGCTCAAAATAAAGTTAAACCAAACAAAAATAGTCACCATCAAGTTAGTGCTGGCTCATGGTCAGATCCAAGTCATAGCGACCCGTCCTTGGGTTTCCAAGTTGGTATCACTATGGAAGGAGCTCTGGTAGTGTAGTGCCTAAAGCCCTTGACTGCTAACCAGAAGGCTGGCAGTTCAAACCCACCAGCCACTCCTCAGAAGGAAGGTTGGGCAATCTAGTTCTGTAGTGATACTGCCTCAGAAACCCAACGAGGGGTCTCTATGAGTCAGATCTGACTTGATGGCACATAACAACAACAACAACAACAACATCACTATGGAAATAGATTGTCCAACCTTCCTTCTGAGGAGTGGCTGGTGGGTTTGAACCGCCAGCCTTCTGGTTACCAGTCAAATGCTTTAAGCACTACGCTACCAGAGCTTCCAAAATAAAACTGCACTCCAAAGACTATAACCTTTTGGAAGTAGATTGTTGCCAGGCCTTTCTTCCAAGATGCCTGTGAGTGGATTCAAACCAATAACCTGTCAGTTAGTAGCCAAATGCTTAACCATTTGTGCCACCCTGGAATGCCTCAAAATATAGTTACAGGGGCCAAAATATTGCAACATGAAACAACTAGAAAAATAATTCAAGGCCACTTTCATGCTGGAACCAGGAAGCAGAAGCCACCAAGAGAAGCAGATGCTGTTAAGAGCCAAGGCTCCCCCTCTTGTGCCTGGGACGACATGGTCACTTTTCCTGGCAATGTCGAGCCTATGCTTGAACTGGATTTAAATCTTACTTATAGATGTATAGGAATTCTACTTTTTGTGTGGGTCCTCATGTTGGGCACTGGAGTCAAAGTCTAGAGGCTAATCCAAATAATCTTTGGACCTTCTGGAGAGGCAAGTGTGTGTCAGGGCAGGGAAAGCTGATGGTGTGGATTCATCTATGTTGTTTACCAAGGAGCAATGGTGGCATAGTGCCTAAGGCATTTGACTGCTAACCAGAAGGTTGGCAGTTCAAACCCACCAGCCATTCCACAGGAGGAAGTCTGGGCAATCTACTTCCGTAAAGATTTATTGCCTCAGAAACCCGAAGGGGGTTGCAATGATTTGGAATCAACTCGATGGCAGTGAGTTTGTTTTTTTTTGGTTTATGTGGTTTACCATGTGATCAGGGCCTGAAGATTTCAGTTCTAATGTGCATACCTTTTAAATGGTCTTCAGGATATCAAAGCAATTGTACCATTTGATCTGAGTCCAATTTGATTCCTTATGGGTAACTGGCCTCAGGCCTAAGGCAGTCAGTCACCTGCCACACTCAAGGATGGCGGTTCAAACCCACCAGCCGCTCCCCGCCAGGTAGCTAGAAGGAGCTCTGGTAGCATAGTGCCTAAGGCACTTGACTGCTAACCAGAAGGCTGGCAGTTTAAACCCACCAGCCACTCCTCGGAAGGCAATCTACTTCCGTAGTGATACTGCCTTGGAAACCCAAGGAGGGGTCACTATGAGTCGGGTCTGACTCAACGGCACATAACAACAACAACATGGGTAACTGCAATTTTCAACAGTTAGCCACTCTTTTGAAGGTCTTTTAGCCCTAGTCATCAAGTAGAGGGGAAATGGAGGTAGTGTGAAAATTTTAAGACAGATGTATCATATGTACAGTAGAAATTTTTATTTTTCAAAATATGAAATTGCAATATTACCAAGCAAAATTAGCGGGGCGTCTAAATACTCTTGAGTATCTAAATTATTTTACTGAAAAAAAAATTTAAACTCTTCTATTTGAAACTTTCAGAAGTCTAATTCAGAATAACTAAAATTCATTCAATAGCTATTCAGTGAACACCTACTGAATTCTTTTAAGTTGGCAATGGAGACCTAGACTTTTGTTAAAGAAAAAAAAAAAAAAACCTAAGAACTTCACTTTGACTTATAAACCATTTGGCTATTAAAAAAAACACAAAAAACAAAAAACCCTCTGCCGCCTATTCTAGTCTATTCAATTCATAGCGACCCTTTGTTGGGTTTCCAAGGCAGTATCTCTACGGAAGTAGATTGACCAGTCTTCCTTCTGAGGAGTGGCTGGTGGATTTGAACCTCCATCCTTCTGGTTAACAGCCAAATGCCTCGGGCACTACGCCACAAATGATATTGCTAAAATGGTTGTTGTTGTAAGTTGCCATTGATTCAACTCCAACTCATGGTAACCCATGGGAGCAGAGTAGAACTGCTCCACAGGGTTTTCAAGATGTGACCTTTCATAAGCAGATCACCAGGCCTCTCTTCTGAAATGCCAACTTTTCCGCTAGCAGTTAATACCACCCAAGGACTCCCTCCACAATGGTATCCATTTATTTCTATATAATGGCCTTAATTTTACTGTACTTTAATAATAAAAGAGGTGAAAGCTGTATACAATTTTTGAAAACCCACTCAACGCTTACTTTCCTTTGGTGTTTCTAAGGAACGACGCAAATTTGGCCCCTTAGGATGGAATATTCCCTACGAATTCAATTCTGCTGACTTTACAGCCAGTGTTCAGTTTATTCAGAATCACCTTGATGAATGTGATATTAAAAAAGTGAGTACAATAGTTGTTTATTCCTATTTTTATTGCTTTCTTGAAATCGGGGTTCTTAGAATCATTTTCAGTCTATGATATGTAGTGAATCTGCTGGGACACCCCCTATCCCCCTCCCCACCGAAGGGACTGCTCCTTCCAACCAGCTGTTTACAGGCCCTGCCTTTAGTCCTCATACTTGAACTGTAACTGTCCATGCAGATCCTCTGATACCCTTCCTTTCTCTGTCTCTGTCTCTGTCTCTGTCTCTGTCTCTCTCTCTCTTTCTCTCTCTCTCTTTCTCTCTCTCTCTCACACACACACACATGCAACACAGGCTGATCATCAGTGAAGAAACCCAGTGTCTCATAGTGTTGCAAAACACCAAAGCCTTCCTCATGTCACATCTACAGATGTCACAGTGCACTTGAAGGGATGCCTTCCAAAAAATTTCTTCACTGATTTAGCCCATGTAGAAGTGAGGATGGTATCTCTCAGCCCACATGAGAGCCCCTTTTCATCTTAAGTCACTTCTTAATTGACTTTGAAGCTTATGCATGTAAATAGCAATAATTTCTAGTAACAATCACTTACTGAATGGCAGTTTTGAGGGTGTTTGCCTAGGAAGGACCTCATGTTTATCTTTACAAATCTGTGAGGTAGGTATCTCCATTCTCCTGAGGAGGTAACAGATGAGAGAATAAAAGATTTCCTCAGTGTCACAGAATTAAAAATACAAACCCAGCTGTCCTTTCACACATGTATGACAAAGGGTTGAAAGTCTGGTTTTCCCTTGATCTGGTTAAGTTAATGAGCATCCCAGAACCTCAGTTTCCTCATCTGTAAAATAGTCATTGTTTCTGTGAAGAATAAATGAGATGGTATTTGTGAAAGCATAGTACCTGCTGCATAATAAGGGCTCAATAAATACTGGTTTCCTTCTGACCCCTCCCCTCTTCCTTCCCAAAGTATGGTTCAGTCTCCTTGTATGGTAATCCCACAGTAGGTCTTCAAGATAAACAGAGAAAATGCAGTATCAGTATGATGATAGTGAGCCTTGATGAATTCACACCTGGGCAAGTGGGAACTCTAGAGTCAAACCACCATTTCTCCTTGAAATGACAAAAGGATATTCAAATTAAGAGTATAGCAATTTAATAGGGAATAATTTGATGGAAAAAAAAAATGTATGGGCTAATAGTCTGTGATTGTTTACCACTTTGTTAAATACAAATAATAGTTGTCTTAAAAGGCAACCAAGCTGAAGAATAAAATTTTAACCAAAAGAAAGTAAATCAAAATCAAGCATCCTTACTTCTCCTTAAACCAAGTACGTTGAAGGGATTTTTAATTAATAATAAAAAAAAATATCTGAAATGTATTGCTAGTTTAAGATTGCTACAGAAATTAATGAATACTTTGGTGTAGTTATGGCTTACAGAATGAGACAGCAAAGGATTGCATTGTGGAAGAATCTCATGAATGAATAATTTTCCAGTTGTTCTCCTACTGATTCCAGAAAATATATGACTAAGAAAGCACACATTAAAGTGTTGATTACTTGATTTTCTCCTTTCTCCACTAAACATTGCTTTTTTCCTCTCTAACAGCTTGACATTACTATAATGAGTATTACAGATGATTAAATCTGGAGAGCGAAAAGTCTTTTTTCCCTATTTTACATAATCTATGGGTAATACATTCACTAGTGTTTAGTTATTGTAGATTTTTCTTTGATAAACAAACTGTAACAGTTCAAGCCATCCAAAAGTGAAAAGAGTTATTAACATAAGATAACAAATAATTTTAAATGTGGACTCGTTAGTATTTCCTTTTCCAGGCCTCACCTCTAGGGAAAGACCTGAACTATTAATAATAATAATGTTGTTGTTGTTGTTATGTGCCGTTGAGTCGGACCCAACTCATAGCGACTGCTCCTTGGGTTTCCGAGGCAGTATCACAGAGGAAGTAGATTGCCCAACCTTCCTTCCGAATAATAATAATGATAACTATTAATAATTATTTGTTCTGATTGACAAAAAGTTAATATATTTATTTTTTTAACAAAGGGTGTGTCGTGGAGTACAGTCCGATACATGATTGGAGAGGTACAGTATGGAGGCAGAGTGACCGATGACTTTGATAAGCGTCTGCTTAATTGCTTTGCTAGGGTAAGTCAATTTAGAGGATAAAAAAAGCATAGAGACACATTTTGTGGCAATTTGTTTGGAAGCTAGGATATTCTTTTGTTTGTAATAAGTAAGCTAAATTTAAAAAATATATATATACATATAGCAGAGCTGCTAAAAGGATGAAGGGGAAAAAAAATAAATAACAGCATTCTACTTGCCCTGAACAGCAGCCACTTCTCAATGATGTGTAAATCTCTTCTTGATGAATGAGCTGTTCTTGTCCAAGGTCTCTCCTCACCACCCTTCCTCCACGTTCCTCAGTCTCCAGCTCCTCGCCTGTAAGGGAAACACCAGATACTTGTTTCTATGCCTGTTCCTCAGAATTGTCAGTGTTAGGGTGATTCTAAGCCTTCAAACAAGGGATTGGGGAATTAACCATGATTTGAGTTGCCTTATCTCTTCCATAAGGAGCTGTGGTAGCAGAGTAGTTAAAGCATTCAGCTGTTAACCAAAAGTTTGGCAGTTTGAACCCACCAGCCCAGCCACTCTACAGAAGAAAAATGAGGCAGTCTGCTTCCATAAAGATTTACAGCCTTGGAAACCCTATAGGGCAATTCTCCTCTGTCATATAGAGTCACTATGCGTTGGACTCGAGAGCAGTGAGTTTGTTTTTGGTTTATCTCTTCCATTAGGATGCACAATTGAACACTGATGAAGTGCTCTCATGTTCTTTTTGCCCAGTAAAATCCACATAAAGCATGTTTAGGAACATTTTCTAGAGAAAATTATTCCTTAGTAATTATGGCTTTCACATCAAGGCTGAATAGTATATATACACCTACCAGAATCAAACTGTTCCTAAAAGCTTTACATGTTGGAAAAGCAATATTCATTACTTAAGAGGGCAAAAAATCAGATATGTGAGTATTTTATGGCTATTTGAATTTCTATAAAGGTAATTCTCTGTTTCAATGATTTTTTTTGCCCCTTAACAAAATTAAAACCTTGACAACAAAGCACAGACTTTGAAGATTTTTTTTTTTAACTGGGAGTTGAGCAAAAACTGATTTTTGAAAGTTTTTCTTGAAGCTGTATGTGGAGAAAAGTGGATAATAACAAGTGTTGCAAAGATGTGTGGATGCAGGAGCCCTGCTGCTGGGAGTTTAGACTGGTACAGATCTCATGGAGGCAGTCAGGCAACGCAAACACTGCAAAAATAAAATAAATAAACCCCCAAACCAAACTCACTGCCATCAAGTCGATTCCAACTCATAGTGACTCTCATTGGGTTTCTGAGCAGTAAATCTTTGTGGAAATAGTTTGCCTCATCTTCCTTCCATGGAGTGGCTAGTGGGTTTGAACTGCCAGCCTTCTGGTTAATAGTCAAATGCCTGAGCACTGCATCACCAGAGCATTTTAGTCAGCAATACTTACTAAAATGAAATATTCATGGTAGATATATCCCAGAACATTTCTAGAGTAAGTCCACAAGTGGACATTTACAAAAATGTTCATGGCAACATTATGTGTGGAGCTGAAGACAATTGTGGTAGTTTTATATTAGTTCCTGCTACTCACCAGACTATAAACAGTCTCTGAAACCGAGGTCTGTGGGCAGAAAGTTTATTATGGAATGTTGTTTGGAAACAATTCCTGTGGGAGAGTGAATGAGGCTAGATGGGCAGACAAAGTTGAACAGTGATGCAGTTGCAACAGAAAACAAAACAAACAAACAAAACAAAACTAGTTGCTCTCAAGTTGATTCTTACTCATGAAGACCCCACATGTTTCAGAGTAGAGCTGTGCTCTATAGGGTTTTGGAAGTAGATCACCAGGCCTTTCTTCTGAGGTACTTCTGGGTGAGTTCGAACTATTAACCTTTTGCTCAGTAGGTGACCATGTAACTATTTGTGCCACCCAGGGACTCCTAGTTGCAACAGAGACCTCAGTAACTCCCATAAGGTGTTGTGGAGGTGGGTGGCTCTCCAGAGGCGGCCCACATTGAGGCAAGGGGGCTGACCAGTCACTGGATGCAGGCTCCCGGTAACCTTCCATAGGGTGTTAGCTTGAGTATGGTGGCTTCTTTCCAGTAAAGCACCCCTTTCTGCTAAAGCAATTCCTGGGGAGAGACAATGCTGTCAGCCTTCAGTAACCAACATTCCAGGCAGCATTCAAGGAAGGCAGGCCTGGGTGCAAAAGAAGGATTTAGGTGGCACATCACTACAGCCACTCCAAAAGCCCAAGAACCCTAAGAGAACAGATAAATAAGATGGAGTGGATGCTCAAAATAGAATACAGTTGTTCAGCCTTCTGAAGTACAATTTGGTGGCACTTAGTCACGTCAAGTGTGTGCTATGACTGCTCTCTGAACCAGAATCCCACTCCTGAGTATATGTCCCAGAGGTGTTCTCAGACAGGTCCATGTACAAAGATATTGTTCACAGAATTGCTTGCTGTGGTGGGAAGTTTAAGAGAACCTGGGTGTCTATCACAGGGAACAGATAAATGTAGATGCCTTCATCTGACTACGTGGAATACAATGCAGCACTTGGAAGAAATGAACCACATGGTATCATGCATAGATCTTAAAAACACAGTGTTGACTCCAGAGCTTTGAAAAATAGAATGTGGTCTATAAAGTAAGATGTGCATATTTCACAAAGATAAATACATATGCAAGGACATATATGAAATAGATATATTTAAATAGATGCCTCTAGAGGAAGGACATTGGGAATGGATATCAGGGCTGAATGGAAAAAACTAAACTAAGAGGGGCTTATATCAGGGCTTATATTATATATGACAATAATAAACTGTTGTTAGGTGCTATTGAGTAGATTTTGACTTGTAGTGACCACATATGACAGAAAAGAACTGCCTCTTAGGGTTTTCTTGGCTGTAATCTTTACAGAAGCAAATCTCCAGGTCTTTCTCCCATGGAGTCACTTGGTCAGTTCGAACAACCAGCCTTTTGGTTACCATCTGAGTGCTTAGTCATTTGAGCCACTGGGACTCCTTCACTAGATTATATTCACTTTAGAAGAAGAAACAAGTTTTCTCATATCTACATCCCTCTAACACTTATAATACACTCATTACAGGTTTGCTGGTGATAATAAATATAATTTAATCTCAGCAGATTGAGAATTTTCTACACCCCAAGGTTATAGTCGTCTAAAGCAGAACAGATTGAATTTTCACTGACCCCAGTGAACACCCTGAAAATTTGTTTGTTTGCTTTTCTTTAACAACACTTTGATCAACTTTTGTTTGTATGCTTTGACTCTTTTTTTTTTCCCCCTGAAAAAAATGGAGTTCAAGAAGAGTCCAGATGAACCAACTGCCTTCCTTGGTTTGTCTTTGTTTTACTGAATTGGCCTTACTCAAAGGTGACAGGAATGCTGCAGTTTGTTGGCAAAGAGAAAGGGGTTTCTAAGAGACCTCTCTGCTCTCAGCGTTGCAAACAGAGCCAGCTCTCTGCATCACACTGGAGAGCTGTTTGTGGTTACCGGTCACCTCAAGGTAATGCCTGAACCAGAAGCCAAGGGAGAGAGCAGTTGCTCAAACTGCTTCACCTTCAAGCTCTTGAGCTGGGCAACTATTCTCTCTTACCCTCATTTGCCTACTCTACTTCTTCTCTCTACCCTGGTATTTAGGGCAGCAGAAAACTAATCAGCTGACCCCAACCCCCATTCCTGAAGTTTAGCCTTCTTCCCCTTGGCCAAGACCAAGGCCCTGGGAAGCAGTTTGAAGGCTCTGGTCTAGATGCACAGGGTTGCTTATCCAGGCCCCAGTTTGTGGCTGCTTTTGAGTAATATAGCAGCCACCTTCCCACCTGGGTTATGGTTCTCCCTTACATTACCTGATTCTGGCTTCTCTGAACTCTGCTCTCAGCACTGGCTGCCTTATTTGAAAAGTTTATTCTACCATTTTGCCACTCTTTCACCCCTGGGCAACTTAATCTCACCCTACCCCAGTCTTGTAACACCCTTCTGTCTCTCTAGTAGAACTTCTCCTTAAAGTAGCCCCATCTTCTGTGGCTCCGACTCTGAGATTCCTCTGGCCATTGACCGGCCCCATCCCCTTATTCCCTCTGAATCTACTCTTAGCTCGCCAATATCCTTGTCTTGCCTCACTTCCTTCCCTTCACTCACTGCTTGGTCTGGCTTGGACCTCAGTAACCACAGATGTCAGTTTGGATCTCTGGCTGTAAGGATTTGAGGTTACCACATGAAACTGGCAGCAGACATCCTCTTGAGAAGGCTGCAGAAAAGCCCAGCATGCCTCAACCTCCACCTGTCTTGTGTCATTCTCAGCCTCAGCCTTATCTTAACCAGCTGACCTTCCTGAATTGCTACCACTTACCCAACTACGTTATCCTTGGTTGTCCATGTGAGAAGTGGTTCCATTGTAAATCAGCACTTCAAACTGAATCCTATGCCTCTATGTTTTTCAATTAGGGGCTTATCTTTGAACCCCTGTTTGTTTTCTCTGTTCTCAGCCTCTTATGGACTGTTTTTCTCTCTCCTAAAATCAACAACTATAGATACCTTATTCAATGCCCTGGAAGGTGACTGTTTATCTTTGTAAAGTACCCTTTAGGGCCTCCTGAAGTCAATTCCATGTACACTTTATATTCTATATTTTGACTATCTTCAGCAAAACTTTAGGAGGATATAAGGATGGCATAGGACCGAGCAATGTTTTGTTCTCTTAGCCTTAGGGTCATTATGAGTTGGAACTTACTCAATGGCACCTAACAACAACAACAATTTGGGCTATATCCCCAAATACTTCCAAATTTGGTGAAACTCGGTATTTGTTTGTGTGAATCTAGCTATTTCTCTGTGTATATGAAAAACAGGAAGAAACGTTCATTTTACTTTTATAAATATATGTCATCTGGCAACACAGAACCCAGTGTGGTCATTTGCTATCTGCTGTGCTGAAGACCCCATGGCCTTGGCCTCCCTAGGGTATCTTCTTGCAGTTCAAGTCATCCACATCATGAAAAATCTAATCTTTCTAATAATGACCATGATCATAGCACTGATCTCTTTAATAGCTTTCAGCTGCTCCCTATTACTTAAACTAAGCACCAGTCCTCACCCTGACATTCAGTCATCTATAATATGACCTTACCTCACCTTTCCTATACTATCTCCTTCCGCTCATTATATTTATACCGGATTTCTTTATTTCCCCAAGCTGCTTCACATTTTTGCATCAACTATTCTATCTTTGCTAATGTAGTTTCCCCAGTCCTGAGTTCTTCTGTCAAAATCCTATCCGTATTTCCAAAATCACCGCCTTGATAAAGCCTTACCTGATTTCTACCTACCTATACTTTCTTCCTGCTTTAAGCCTCCTTAGTGCTTTGCTTATTTTCATTTGCTGATGGCTCTTATCTTAGTGCACTTTGTATCCTGGTTATGGTGTAATTGGCTGATCCTTCTAATAGGGTCAAGCTCTGTGAAGGAAAGGACAGTGTCTCTTATCTTTGCATTGTTCAGGCTCTAGCTAAGTGCTTGTACACAGGAATTGAATTAGAAAGAACTGAGGTGAGGAAAGCAAATGAGAGAACCAGTCGGTATACAGGGTATTATAAAGTAATCACTGAACCTAAAAAGACCTGAAAGAAGGACATGGAGGGCAGATAGTAGAGAAAGTGCTACCAGCTGGAGTGAGGCACAGTCTTCGTTTCTTTTCACATTGAGTCCTTTGAGTGATTCAGACATTCTGCCTGCATTTCCACTCCTTCTGTCTTCCCATTATTTCCCTCCCTACTGGGAAAATTGGTCTGTTAGACATTGAAGTCATTGCCACAAATCGGACTCATGGGCGTTCAGCATCTTTTCTTTTCTTTTTTTTCCCCTTTTCAGAATAAGTCTATTCACACCAAGTATATATTTGTTCTCTCACTGTTTCATTACAGATAATCAATTCATACAGAACAAAAAGGATGTCTTAAGGCAAACAACAAGGCAGTTGGATACATTTGCTTCTTATGGCCAGGGACATAACTTCATTAACCAAGGGAGCTCTCCAGCCCAGGGTGGGAGAGGAGACATCGGGAAGGAGGGTTTTTCCTGGCCATGTGCTCAGGGTGGCGGAGAGCCATGTAGCGCGTGAGCATAGTTCCCTGGCCCGAGTACCGTTTGAGGCAAGGGAATGAGAAAATGGGGAGAGGCAATGCTCATGCCCAGCTATTCTCTCATATTTGTGACTCTTGCCTCAGCTACTTTTCAGTGTTTTTCCACTCCTCTTCCAAAGTGGCATCGAGGATTGTCAGATTTCTGGAGTAGAGAATTTGAAGGTCGGCTTGCATGGTGACTGTCTCTTCTTCACTCTTAGCAAATATCTTCTTGGCCTAAACTGAGTTGTTGTTGTTGTTAGCTGCTGTCAAGCCAAACCAACCAGCCCCTCACTCAGGGTGACCCCATGCCTAATAGAACGAAACATTGCTCAGTCCTCTGTTTTATCAAGGACATCGGTTGCTGATTGGACGATTGTGATCCAGAGAGTGTTCATTGGCTGATTTTCAGAAGTAGATTGCCAAGCCTTTCTTCCTAGTCCACCTTAGTGTAGAAACCCCACTGAGACCTGTTCAGTATCATAACAACATGCAAGCCTCCACTGACAGATGGGTGGGGGCTGCACATGAGGTGCATTGGCCAAGGATTGAACCTGGGTCTTCCACATGGAAGGCGAGAATTCTACCACTGAACTACCACTGCCCCGGTTAAACAGAGGCCCGTGCCTAATTGCTTTTGTGTGTGTAGCCTCTCTCTTTTCTTCTGTGTGTATTATATATAATGATTATATGTGCTTATCATTCTATCAGTGATTTCCTTAAGGTGCTTTCAAAACCAATATAAAAGTCTATTAAAATGGAAATAAGGTGACACTCCTTTATAGCGGCAGTTTTCACTGAGATGTTCAATTTTAATTCTTTTATTTTCCCTCACATACAGGTCTGGTTCAGTGAGAAGATGTTTGAACCATCGTTCTGTTTTTATACTGGATATAAAATCCCCTTGTGCAAAACTTTGGACCAGTATTTTGAATACATCCAGTCCCTGCCATCCCTAGATAACCCCGAAGTCTTTGGACTTCACCCCAATGCTGATATCACGTAAGTTCTTGGTATTTTTTAATTTGAAGGGGGCATTTATAACTCAGCCTGGCAAAGATTATGCATTTCATTTTCTCTCTTAATCTCTCTCCTTTCCCTTCTTTTTATTTTGCTGTGAGAAATAGTGTCACTTCCTGTCACCCAATTACAGCTTTGTCATATTTTGGCCTGCCCTCCCCTCACTAAATCCTGATGCTCCTGAGTTTATGACAACATAACACTCTAATTTATGCATTGATTATTTCTCTTCTGTCGTATTGCCATAAAGCCAATTCATGTTATTGGTACTGATGCTTTCCATTGACAAGACAGTAGTCTCCTAGCTTGCTTGTCTCTTTCTTCAAGAATCATTTTAAAATAATGGTAATAAATAGGATCTAAAAGGGTCAGGAGGGCACAGATATGAATATAAAGAGTTGTATTTCTGCTCTATCCTCTTTTCTGTGAGCCTCACTAGCTTCCCTGTATCCTGTGCCATTAAATACCCATGGTGGACACAATGCAGCAATTACATGACACAGAGCCCAAAGAGGAAGGACTAGAGGGTCTCTCGGCTCAATCTGAGGTCCCTGCTCCATGCCTATGCCATGATCATAGGCAGTGAGTGAAGAGATGAGATATGCTTCCAAGACCCAGTCTCCTTCTCTGACCCACTCTTCAGACAAAGTCTTACTCCTGTTTTCTTCAGCAATCTCTCCCTTAGAACTAAGCCAGAGATTACCGAGAAGGCTCCCTAGAGAAGCTCTCACTGAGATTCTCCTTTGGATGGGCTCATTGATGAAAGACTTATGTTCAAGAGAGTGGTTTCAGGAAATGGAAGGAAACAAGACTACTTTAGTAATGACCGAGAGGGAATGTGGTGTTCTCTCTCTCATCACTCACCTACTGCTGCAGTTTTGGCACCTTCTGATTCTCAGCCCTTGCCTGGCTCCCCAGGAACCCCACGTTGCTGCATTTCCCCTTCATCCCTAAGCATGCACCTCATCCTCTGCACGAGGCTTGCCCTGCTGGCTTCTTCATTGTTGTTGTCAATTGCCTTTGAGTTGTTTCTAACTCATGGCAACCCATGTGTTATAGAGTTGAACTATACTATACATGGGGTTGTCTTGACTATAATCTTTGTGGAAGCAGATTGCTAGGACTTATCTACTGCAGTATGCTGGGTGGGTTTGAACCACCAACCTTTAGGTTAATAGTTGAGCACAAACTGTGACTTTATTAACCACATGGATTCTAACTTTTCCATACCATCTAGTCTGCCCCATGCTGCCTTTCATCTTCAAAGATGTGGGCATGATGAAAGGACCCACTAATGGCTTTCAAACTCCATGATGGAACCACGATGGTACTTTCATGGTGGTTCCAGCTGTTATTTGAAGAGACTGCCATGGGCGAAATAGCTTGAGACAGGAAGTGGTCACTGCCATGTGAAGAAATAAAAATAGGATACCTGAGGGGCAGTTTAAGAATCAGCTTACAAATTATCTGAAAGAGAGAGCACCATGAGGTCATTTCGTGTTTAGCTGAGACTTTAAGGATGTGAGTCAGACCATATCACTTCTCTGCTCAGAACCTTCCAGAGTCTCCTATCTCACTCCAAGTGATGGTCAAAGGCCATATGTCTTGCAAGGCCAATAATGCTATCAGCCCCCACACCTCCCCAACCTCATCTCCTTTTATCCTCCCTCTCTCTCACAGCTCCAGCTCCACCAGCTTCCTGTTACTCAAACAAGCTAGCCATGCTCCCACCACATGATAACTGCACTTCCTGGAACATTCTCACCCTCAGACATCTTGGTGGCTCATCCTTCACCTCTTCCAGTCTTTGCTTAAATGCCATATTTTCAACAAGTTCTTCTCTAGCTGCCCTATTTCAAAATTGCAACCCACCCCTGTTCCCTGCTCCAGACCCCATGTTCCTTGCCTGCTTTTTTCCACAGTTTGTACCACCAACCGACACAGTTATATTTTATTTATTTACCTGCTTATTGTCTATCTACCATCACACAAATGTAAGCTCTGTTAAGGCTAGAACTTCTGTCTATTTTCTGTGCTGTGTCACCAGTGGTAGAAAAGTGCTCTGTGCTCACTAAGTATTTATTGAATGAATCAATGATGCTAAGTTTCCTCTGGCCTGTGAAGAATTAAACCAATGGGGGTATTTTATAGAAAGAACTAATGAGTTTAATTAGTTCATGAGTTGACAGAAAAACGGCTCATAGGTTTTAATGAATGGTATACCTGTAAGGCCGCTGAACTTTGATCACATCCTTGGCAAGAAACTGGGAGTCATGGTGGCTGATTCCTAGAGAATCAGAGCCTGTCAGTCATTACAGGTTAATGGAATATTGGACCTATCAAAGAGTAGGTAAAATGAAACCAAAAACATCACACCCTAAGGCACACGGATGGCATTCTTATGCCTTGGTCACCACATCTCAAGAAAGATTAAACAAAGCTAGGAAAAGTCCATGTGTTTGAAATTACAACACCAATACCACTACCAACAACAACTAAGTACTACTAAGTAGCATGATTTCTTTGCAGCTCTTTTTGTCTTTAAAATATATTTTTTAATATATTGGTGGTTCAGTGGTTAAAGCATTCAGCTGCTGACCACAAGTCAGTGGTTTGAACCCACCAGCTACTCCACCAGTGGGAGAAAGATGAGGCAGTCTGCTTCCATAAAGATTTATAGCCTTGGAAACCCTATGGAACAGTTCTACTATGTCCTATAGGGTCATCATGAGTCAGAATCGATGGGAGTGAATTTTGTTTAGGTTTCATGTATAGATTTGTGTGTATATACAGTGTATATATAGGTATGTGTGTGTATACACAAATGTGTGTGTTTATATATAGATGTGTATTGTGTTCAGAAGTCACTTGTATTAACTATTTTTGCTCTGTGGTTATGCTATTAACAGGTATATATTTAGGATCATTTGCTTGTTTGTATTAAACTTTAATTTTTCCATCTTTGTTTATTTTTAAAATATCTAAAACATGAACTGGTTAAAAGGCAAAACTAGCTAATAAGGTGTTCTTAACAAAGTCTTACTCTCTCCACCCATTTTATATTGTTTTGGTTTTGCTAATGTTTATTTTTAGCTAGTCAAATTTATGAATACTTTGTTGTTGTTACAACTGGATTGTTAGTAATAGTAGAAAACCTTTTCCCACATCAGGTTATAAAGGAATATCTCATACTTTCTTCTAGAACTTGTATGGTTTCATTTTTTTTTTTACATGTAGCTCTCTTATCCATTTAGAATTTTGTTCTGGTAGAAGTATTGATGAAGTTTTATTTTTTTCCAAATAGCAATTCTATTATTCTGACACCAGTGATGTAAAATGCTTTCAATATTTTCCAAATTTCCTTATGTTCTAGGCTCTATTTTTGAGCTTTCTATTCTGTACCACTGTATTTGAGATTTTATAGTATATTTGACTGTCTGGTAGGGCTCCCCCAACTCCAGGCTTTTCCTAGCTATTATTACATGTTTATTTTTTCTATTTCTATCAGATGAGCATTGAATTTTTGTTGAATAACTATGCAACATCTATGGAGATAATCATATGATTTTCTCTAAATATCTAAAAATTTGTGAATTATATTAATGGATTGCCTAATTGGAATCATTCATAGATTCCTAGAATTAATAGCAGTTGGTCTGGATGTATTACATTGTTAATGTGGTTTAGATTCTGTTAATAATTCATTGCAGAATTTTTTTGAACCCCTATTCATGAATGAGATTACTGTGGCAATTTCTTTATTTGTGATATCACTATCAGGTTAAGTTGTAATCAATGTTATCTTAGTTTTATTTATTTAAAAAAAGTTGTTCTGGAATAATTTATTTAATGTCAGATGCTTAAAGGTCTGGTAGATTTCTTCTGTGGAACTGTCTTGGCACAGTGTTTTTTCGTGGTGTTAGTTCTTTCTGGTAGCATAGTGTCTAAGGCATTTGACTGCTAACCAGAAATCTGGCAGTTCAAAACCACTAGTCACTCCTCAGAAGGAAGATTGGCTGATCTACTTGCATAGTGATACTGCCTCAGAAACCCAAGGAGGGGTTGCTATGAGTTGGATCTGACTCAATGGCAGTGAGTTTGGTTTTTAGTTTTTTAGTTCTTTGTTATCTTTCTCATCCTTCTGTATCCAATAGGGTAAATTTTTGTGAACTGTACTTTTCAATTTCTCCTGAAGTGTGATGGTTAAGGTTGTGTGTCAACAAGGCTGGGCCATGATTCTCAGTGTTTTGGCAGTTATGATGTAGTCATCCCCCAAGGTTAGATCTGATATAATGTAATCACTTCCATGATGAGATCTGCTATGAGCAGCCAATCAGTTGGAAGGGAATTCCTTGGGGGTGTGGCCTGCTTCCTATGTATGGAAATTCTGGAAAAGCTCTCTGTTTTTTTTGCTTGATCTGGCTCCTGCATGTGGTTCATCATTATCTGACTTCCAGTTCTTTGGACTGGACCCAGCAGTCTGCCATATTGCAGGCCAGTCTTGGGATTGTTGCCTTTTCAGCTTGTGAGCCAGCAGCCTGACATCTTACCTGTCAATCTTGGATTCATCAGCCTTCTCAGCCAACAGCCAGCTGTATTGTCTGTCAATCTTGGGTTTGTCAGCCCGTGCAGTTTCATGAGTCAGGAGACACCTCCACCTGACATCTGACCCATGGACTTGCCGTTGCCAGTCTCTACAACTGAGTGAATTATATTATATGCTTGGTAAGGTGGAGGGTTGACGAAAGAGGGGAAGGCCTTCGATAAGATGGATTGACACGGTGGCTGCGACAATGGGCTCAGGTATAGTGAGGATCATGGAGCTGGCGTGGGATCAAGCAATGTTTTGTTCTGCTGTGCATGGGGTTGCTATGAGTCGGAAATGACTCGATGCCACCTAACAACAACTGTGTGAGGCATTTCCTTGAGATAAATCTCTCCCTCTCTCTCTCTCTCTCTCTCTCTCTCTGTCCGAGCTTCAC